GTCGTCAACGCTTCGTAGTGCACGCATACCTTACCCTCCATGTCATGATAACTCGGATTTGCCTGTGGACGTCATGAAAGAATGAGAAATGGAGTGTACAGGCCACCCAAGAAGTACAGGACATATAAAATGACAGTCATTACTACAACAGAATCCACACTACAATGTGATATGAAATATTTCATATTTATATATAAAAAATATAACAAAATAAAAAAGAAGAGGTGTATAGGCCACAGTAGTATCTCAAAGACAATTCAAGCAAAGAACACTTTCTGAGACAAGAAGGCAATAACAACAGGTGTAATTGCCACACATATTTACAACACCATTGAATCAACCACCAAATAACAATTGTCAGACAAATTAAAATTGAACATAGAAAACAATTGTAACAAAACATAATAAAAAATACTTACGGTAGTCCATTTTGTAAAACAATCAGCATCTCCCGTAATCATCTTTTTCTGTGGATCCCAACTCAATCCGGTGGCATTGGTTACCATGTTGTGAAACTTTCTCCAATACACCTTCATTCGTTGGTACTTACTTTGCAGTTGTGTCACTTTGTAAGGATAGAAAATGGGACACTGCTCCTTCAACTTCGCAAGAATGGTCGTCCATTGATTCGGTGTGAACTTACCGGTTACACGGTTTCCCATCAGAACTTCGTCCAACAGAACACTCACAAAAGCGGCTTCATTTTCGGGAGGCCATTTGGCGTCTCCTTGAGTGCTCTCAGACGAAGGACCAATACCACCCGAAAATGACATCTACAATATGGGAATTAACAAACAAAATAGGAAATTGTATGCTATGCTTTAACATGTACAAATAACCTGTACTAATGGATAGTCTGCCAATCATAACTGCATTCTGGACTAAGAAAAAGAAAGGTACCATAAGAACAACTGCCACACTCGGAATTGGAGATTCACAGAATTACACAACATATTCCTCAACAATGAAGACAACAACAAACGATTGGGTGCCGTGTTTTTGACCATAGGTCTTACCCTAATTTTTTTTTCACACTAAAACGAGGGCAGAAATAACCATCAACGAAGATTGTTGGGTGCCGTCTCTATTTACATAGCCCCAAATTTTGTATCGAAGGGTTGTAAGATCAAACATAACATAAACTTCAACAATGTTTGTATAACGAAATTAAAACAATCTCCTAACTACAAAAAAGCCCTGTTTCCTTTTTGTCCCAAATTTTTCCATACAAACCAAAATAATTCCAAGCATGCGCCTTGAACTTGAACGATATTGTTCCATAATACAAATCAATGGATGGTAAGGAGGATATGATCTACCTTTGTTGGCCGGAGTCTCTTCTTTTTCGGAGATGTGACGGAGACGCTACCGGTGCTTTCGGTAGTGTCTTGAGCGGGGATATCGGGTCTTCGTTCAGCGTCCGCTTCACGTGAGGTCGCATGATGATTTCGTGGAGGGGAGAGATCCATAGACGCTGAGGCGATTGAAGCCCAATTTATGGAGGAGAATCTTGTGTTGATATGGTCCAGCTAACTTCGATTTGAAATCTGCAAGAAAAAAGTCAAAAAGATGGAGCATTGCAATGAATGTTGCAGGAGGTGTTGGTGTATTGGGAGTGGGGAAAGCATATAATTCTGACGGATACAACCTGTTGTTTGGTTTTTGTGGGCCACGAAAAAAATCCATCTATGTGATATCCAATCACGGGTTCAACAGTGAAAACTAGCCCAAAGTGAGTAAAAATTAAGCCCAGTTGATATCAAATCGCGCCCTTAATTTTTAGCTAGCTGTCGGCTGAAGAGGACATGTCCGTCTTAGGGTGCGACTGTCCACAATTAGTGGCCGCTTAGGGAGCGACCGACCACAATTGCTGGCGGCTTATGGCGCGACCGTAGAGTTCATGGCTGGCCGCGCCAATGCCGACCGCAATTCCATAACGGTCGACCGACTCCACAGAATTTTAGTTTTTTTTTATATTATGTACAAAAAAAAAAAAAAATATACAGGGCAAAATATGAATCCCTTGTCTCGGCCTTAGCGAGAATTTGACATTTTTTTGGATTTTTTTTGGAGGTGCAGTGAGGCGGCGGTGGAAATTGAAAAGTGAGCGTAAGAGATAGAGGCAATGTTTTAAATACCGTACCGTATCGGCCGGTAATATCGGATACCGGCCATTGGTACGGTACAATTACACTCAAAATACCGGATTTACGGTTATACCGGTTTGTACTGGGATTATACCGTAAAAACCGTAAAATACCGGCCAATAAAAAAAAAATAAAAAAAATATTTTTTTTTTAGTTTAAAATAATAAAATTTAAATTGGTAGTTAAAATATTTTATTTCCATCTTATTGAGAAGTTGAAATTAATGATTATGGTCATTTATATTTTTACTTTTTTGCACTTGACATTATATATTTTTATGTATATTTATATATAGCATTATATTTTCTAATCTGGTAATACTGCCGATATTACCGATCCGACCAGTAATACCGCGTACAGGTGGCTAGACCGGTATGGCCACCGGTAGGTATTTAAAACACTAGATAGAGGGAGCAATTTATATATTTATTAAGGGTAAATTGCACTTTTGGTACCCAAACTAAAGTTCATTTCGGAATCAGTACCCACTTTTTAATAGTTGCAAAATTAATACCCAAACTTTTATTCCGTTTGCGACGTTAGTACCCGGCGTTAGTTGTCCGTCAAACAGCCGTTAGTCGTTACCGTTAGCTAATAAAATGGAGGGAAATATGTTCTTTTTGCGCGCCTGTTGTACTCTACATATATATGGCTTAATGTAGCCATATTTTCCCACCAAAATTCGCATCTCTCAACAGAAAATTAGGAAAAATTAGGAAAAATCCAAAAAAAAAAAAAATGAGAAGTAATTCTAGTAGTTCTTCTTCTTGGAATAATAACTTTCCTGTCCAAAAATGTTGGTGTCCTTTTGGTGAACATCTCCCATTGAAGACATCATGGACAAAAACCAATCCCGGAAGAAGATGTTGGGCATGTCCAAAATACGGGGTATTATTTTCGATTTTTCTTTTTTATCATATTCATAAAAAAATTTATGATTGTATTATTCTCTCTTGCAGACAAATGAATATTGTGGATTTTACAAGTGGTTGGATCCGAAAATGTGTGCTCGTTCCAAACAAATAATACCCGGACTGCTTTCAAAAATCAACAAGCTTGAGGATGAGGTCAATGACTTCATGATAAGTCAACGACTAACGGCAGTTTGACGGACAACTAACGCCGGGTACTAACGTCGCAAACGGAATAAAAGTTTGGGTATTAATTTTGCAACTATTAAAAAGTGGGTACTGATTCCGAAATGAACTTTAGTTTGGGTACCAAAAGTGCAATTTACCCTATTTATTAATATATAAAAAATAAGTGGACAAAAAACAAAAAACAAAGGAGGAAGTGGAACAAAATAAAAACCACGTATTCACTAAATACGGTTTCTTCACAATTTGGTTGGAAAACGTATTCATAAAATACGTTTTTACAGAATTTTTTATAAAGAAAAACGTATTCATGAAATACGTTTTTCAATTAAATTTTGTAAAAAACGTGTTTCACAAAAACATGGTTTTTATTTATTTCCACACCCCTCTTTTTGTTTTTTTTTTTTTTTCTGTCCGTGCTCAGAATTTTTTTTCGTAAAAATTTCTAGATCATTTTTTTTTTTTTTTTTTTTTTAAAAAAGGAAAAAAACGTAAAGAAGGGACTGTAGATAATAGGGGGACAGGGTGTAATAATTCATGTATATATTGAAAAGTGTATAATAAATCTTTACAAAAATTGGGGTAAAGCGATATAGGATACCCTATAAACCTATCTTTTGACTTGATATCTGCGTACTCTTATGCTTCTCCCTCTCGTAGAATTCCTATAGTTCTCTTTCGATCGCAAATCAGTTCTTATATTACTTTTCGGTCGTGTTGTTAACTTCGAAGTTCTTCTGTGAGTACTTTCTGGTTATCTGTGTATATAGATTCTTGTTATGTGAGAGTGAATATAGATAAAGCGTGAATGTTTATCAGTATTGTTAATTGTTCTTTTTTTCTTTTGTCTTCTTATTTTTGTTGTCAGGGTTTGATGCTGAACAGCTAATGGTTGATTTTCTGGAGCTCTATTTCTATGATAGTTGTATCGTTCATTATTTTAGATTTTCTTTTTTTCCATTTTCTATAGGGGAATTTGTCAAGGGAGAGAAGCCATTTTCCTTCTCTTTTGTTTTGTATCATTTGTTACAATGAAGACATATGTAACAATTGAGTTTGAATAATTATGTGGCTTGTTATTTTTTCCCATCAGATTGTGCATGCTAAGACAATTTAGTCTGCAAGGTACACCATTTGATAAGAATGGTACAATGTCACTGCAACTGTGGTTTGATCTTTCTATATGAGAATATTTTTGCTGCGCCATTTTCTTGAACTCCCTTAAGTGTCGGCATGAGTTACTCTAAGTTTTGCTTCCATTGTGTATTGTACATTGAGAAGCGTGCCTTTGTTTTGCGTTTGTTGAGGAGTATTTGTCATCTTTCAACCACCCACCCACTGACTCAATCGCATGATTTGACACATTTTCCATATGTGGAATTTTTTGTAGACTGAGATTGGATTGGATGAGTGCAGGTCCTCAATCACATTGAAGGAGTGCGTTAGTGTCTGGATTAAGTGAAATGGAGAGCTTAGCTCAGCTGGAAGTGTTGTGTGAAAGACTTTACAATTCGCAAGACTCAGCAGAACGGACACACGCTGAGAACACTCTGAAATGCTTTTCAACAAATATTGATTATATTTCTCAGTGTCAGTATATATTGGATAATGCTTTGACCCCTTATGCTTTGATGCTGGCAAGCTCAAGCTTGTTGAAGCAAGTGACTGACCACAGTCTCTCGTTGCAGCTACGCCTTGATATCAGTAAATATTGTTAAGCTTACAGTTTGGGTTGTGCATATTAATGTCACACTTCTAGGATTTGTATTATTATCCTATCTTTATTTATTTCGGCATTGAGTTTTTGGTTGCTACCGTAAGCATAACCACAACCTTTTCCAAAATTTATAATATTTGTCCCATGTATATCCAAAATATGTAGTTTGATTGAAGTCTGTTTGATTATTACTTTTCTTTAGCATGATCATGAATTCATTTAGTGTTCATGAATTCATTTTGTGTCCCTTTCTATGAAGGAAATTACCTTATGAACTATCTGGCAAACAGAGGTCCTGAGTTGCAGCCCTATGTGATTGGATCTTTAGTTCAGCTTTTATGCCGACTTGCCAAATTTGGATGGTTTGATGATGACAGATTTCGAGATATTGCTAAAGAATCTATCAACTTTTTGAACCAGGTAATGTATCTGGGTTCTGACTCATGTAGTTTGAGAAAGTGAATGGTTGGCCGTCATGTATGTTATATGGAGTAAGAATCTAAAGTAAATTTAAATAAATCTCAGAGGTTATTTGGTAGGGGGTCAGGAAGATGGGAGTATTTGACTAGTTGTGCTGTTTAGAATAACCTTCTGATACAACTGTAATTGCCAAATCATTAGCTGCAGAAGTTGTAAAAAGTTATGGACTTACGGCCAACATGGCTATTTCTCAATCTCCTTGAAACAATATAATTTGCAAACTTCACATTTCCAACCCTATATTTCGTATTCTCTACCACAAAATGTAACATACGTGAGTCATCACTAGTATTCAGTGTCTATATATAATAATACATCACGATCTTCACACGGAAGTGATGCGATATGTCTACATACAAATTATGATTTCTTAAACTGATTTTCAAATAGAACCCGTCATTGGTTCACCATTTCCAGTGTCATCTAGTTGCATAGAATATTTTTTAAGTCATTGAGGGTGATCAGCAACTGATATTTCATCTAATTTATCACACTTTGTAAATAAAAAAATTGTAAAATATGCCATTTATGTGAATTTTGCCGTGTCAATATTGTTCAAGAGTATGTGAATACCTGTACGGTAAAACTTGGTGAAATTAATTTATTCTTTACAATAGCAAAGTGAGAGTAGATTTGCGAATAAAGGGTAACATCTTGATATAAATCATTCTAACAAATTTGGATGTCACTTGATTGTGTTGGATATATGGAAAAATTTTAGATCCATCATACTTGTTTGGAGATCTAAACTTAGATGGATATAGTGGGAATTAGAAGTAAAAACCAATATTAAATATTGGCCCGGGAAATGAACTTAAATAAATTCCAATAAATTAAGCAGTGTCGGCATCTGTCACTTAGAAAGATCTTCAAATTTCAGTATGAAGTTCTTATCGGGTTTCGTTGATTTGTCCATTAAATTAACTATATTTCTCTGATGGTTTTTTGGAGTATGTTGTGCTTTTGCATAATCTATATTTCTCTAATCTCTAGATAACCTAAAAAATTTGAATTTGTTATTTTCGACTGTTTTTGCATTCCGGATGAAAACTTGTCAGCTATTAAAGCCACCACAATTTACATTTCCTTGTGGGTTGAGTATTTTCACTAACATAAGACTAATTACTTACTGGATAATAAAGTACTTTAAAGAAGCAAATGATTAATGCTTTTCTTGTACAGTTTTCAAGTAGATTTATCCCTTAGCCTGGTCATGGCTGTGAAGAAATTGTATTAAGAAACTATGGATAATTGACTTCAGTAGCTACCAACATTGAGTGTGCCCAAAGAAGAAAGCTGGAATTGATGCTGGCCTTGATTCATCTGTAGGATTAGATAACACATGTTACCCTGTGATTCTTATCCTCAGCAAGCCATGTATAATCTTCTCACGTCTTTCATTTAAGTAGGTAGGGATCAATGGTGATTAGTGTAAATATGTGATATCTGATTTTATGCTCTAATGAGCATGAACGGTGTAATTTAGCTTGGTATTTTGCAAGATAGCTGAAATACTAATCTCATACTGGCTGCATTTTTTTCCCCTTTTATTTTACATGGTTACTGCATGATATTTCTTCTTTAGATGTACTTGAGTCTATACGTTACTACTAATGTAATTTAGAAAAATATATTGCCTTACTTTTTTTTTTCTCTTACGCACAAGGTTTTAACTTAAGTTATCAGGTTAGTCAAACCATTTTCTTACAGCAGATATATATTCTCAATTACAATCTGTAAATGTAGGATGAACAACCATTCCATTCAATTAAAAAATGTTATCCGTGTTTTTTGCCTCAATGTTGCAATCCTCCATTGACCTGGAGTTAAAATCCTTCACCATCAAAAGCTAGAAATTTTCCAGAAACAAAATCATTCTATCTAGGAAAGGAAGAGCATAATTTATATATTGTAAGACTGGAGGTAACCACATGTAAAGTGACCACATGTAAAATAAAGCACCATAGAGTTCTTTGGAGTTTGTGAATCAACAACTTGTACTTGCATATTATGCTATTCGTATAATTTGGAATGCATTTTGATTTAGGTAGCTGATATATCTAAGCTTCAAGAACTTAAACCTCTGTTGTCCTGAACTTAGCTTATGAAGTAATTAAGGAGCCTTTTTAGCTATCATCCAACTTTGTGGATCTTAGTTGTGATTTTTCTTTTTGTTCTGGAAAGATATGCAAGAATGTGTCTTTCTCCGTTACTTCATAATTAAGGTTACTTGGTTTTATCTTCATGAATGTGATCCTTAAAATATTCTGTGTGTTTCAGGCAACAACAGATCACTATGCAATTGGTTTAAAGATATTGAATCAGCTTGTTAGTGAGATGAATCAGGTCTGTTGTTTCTAATTTTGTCTTATTAGTAGTATCATTTTTTCAAAGGAGGTTTAGATGGGGACTATTTACTCCAGGGATATCTATTGTATTTCTCTTATGCTTCCATTTGGGTAGCATGAAACCGCTGGTATGGTTGTACATTGTCCAATACACTACTAACTAAACTGATATCTCTTATTTGCTTCTCATTGGTAAAGCTTCAATGATATTTCACTTGGTCTCTTCTGGATAGATTTCTGCGTCCCCTGAATTTTGTTTGGGTCTTCTTGAAATTTCTATTTACAGCCGAATCCTGGTTTGCCTTCATCACATCACCGAAGAGTGGCCTGTAATTTCAGGGATCAATGCCTTTTCCAGATTTTTCAGATATCTTTAACATCATTACATCAGCTTAAAAATGATGGTGGGTTCTTTATATTGTGTTTTTTCTGTGACATTGTGATTGTATCTATTTGGGCAATGGTTACTAAGTTTTGAGACATGCAGCCATCAGCAGGTTGCAAGAATTGGCTTTATCACTGGCATTAAAATGCCTGTCTTTTGATTTTGTTGGGACATCTATTGATGAAAGCTCTGAAGAATTCGGGACTGTCCAGGTAATTTTTGGTTACCGACAAATGGAAATGATTGGAAATAGAGGTTGTCAATGAACAGTCTTCATATGTCATTTTGGAGCACTATTGTAGTAGATAATGTTTGTATTAGCGTATGTGTTTTCGAATTATATCTCATTTAAGTTTGTTTCCTAATGTTGCTTGGCAAGGTTCATATTGAGTGACATAGTTCGTTTTACAGATTCCATCTTCTTGGAAGCCTGTGCTAGAGGATTTTTCAACTCTACAGATATTTTTTGACTTGTATGCACTCACCAAGCCCCCTATCTCCAAGGAGGTTAGTTATTTTGTAACTTCTTTATCTGTATGTCATGCATTTCGTGTCACTTTCTTAATTTTTCCTCAGTTAGGATCATTATTTTTGGTTCTCCATTTGATATTTAATTGACTTCTTTTTGTTAGCTTAGATGCTACTTATCAATATATATATATATATATATGTATATATATATATATATATAACAGAAAAGATATAATAATCAGCATTTGAGATGCACATGGTTTCAATTAATATTAAATTGTGGAACAAACTCTGACTCCGTTGTTTTTCTAGGCATTTGGTAATGTTTCTATAGTATGTCCATTTGTGTCTACCTGATCTATTGTCATATTTAGAGCATGTTTGGATATGAAATTTTTTTGTTTGGTTGGATTTTTTTGGTTTGGTTTGGTTAATTTGGACAAAGGTAATATGATTAATTGTTAGTGAGTATATTAAAATAATATTTATATAAAATAATTAAAAACTTGATGTGATGGTTAGTTAAAATATTGTAAGTGGATGAATAGTGAATTAAGGTTGATGTGGTGTGTGTGAATGATTGATTGAAATTATTTAATTATATTTATAATATTGATGATAGTGGGTTGAGTTAAAGTTGAGTTAAAAAAAGTGATTGAGTTAAAATGTTGAAATTTTTTTTTGAGATGTCTTGTATACAAACATGCTCTTAATTTTCCGACAATATTTCAATCCTTTGAGCTTTCATGTAAAAAAAGCATATTTTTATTTTTCCTTTCCATTGTGCTCCAGTATTGCTTAAAGTTTTATATAATAGGTGATTATGGGTTGTTTTAAAAGTTTTTCCATTAAAAGATCTTTATTCTCTTACTTCTATTGTTATTATAAAAGATCTTTCAATCCTTTCCGTTGCTTAAAGTTCTATCATAGTTTTTCCTTTTAAGATAGATTTCACGTTGTGTGGAATATTTTATGCTTTTCGTATTGCTTAAAGTTTTATATGATAGTTGATTATGGAGCTGGAAGAGTCAATGTTGACAATTCTTCTGGCATCGTGCAAATAATGGACTAGATCAAAATGGCTCAATTAAATTCTAGTGCTTCTTCTATTAGTGAAGTTTCTAGAAAAAATATATCAAACGACGCAACGCACCTTGGGTCGCTATGGAAACAGCCTCCTTGTATAATTACAAGGGTAAGGTCTGCGTACAACTGACCCCCCAGACCCCAACCTGTTTGAGAATATACTGGGTATGTTGATGATGTTGATGATGTTGATTAAAATAATATTTAAAATATAACGATTAAAGTTGATTTGATGTAAAAGTTGGAGTAGGGTGATTGGAAGTGATGAATAGTTTAAATTATGTGAGTGAATGAATAATTAATTAAAGTTGATGTGATGTAATGAGCATGATTGATTGGTATAATTTGATCATATTGATAATATTGAGGAGGGTTGGGTTGAGTTAAATTTGAGTTATATTTTGAGTTAAAAAAAAAATTATTTTGACCACATAATTTATAATTGTGTTGTTGAATATGGATATGGTGTGAACTGTAGGATAAATCTCTCGAGATGGTTACCATTTGTTCAGAGTCTAGAGATTGAAATCTTATTACCAGAAGCTTAAATTGCTTCTAGAACAATAGAATATGCCAGTGATTACGCACGGCGAGCCAAGTCGAGGCGTGTGACGTGCTTGCCTTAGACGAGCCATTATAAAGGAGATCTATCATAAAGTTCTCTGATTATGAAACATTTATGCTCCATGACCAATTTATACATTCTATTCCTTAGTTGAAATATTTAAAAGAAAATTTAAAAATTAGTCCTAGACACTAAAATATGCACATGTGAACTCAATGTAGTCAAGTGATATGTTTCACTTTCAAAGTATGGCTAAAGAAAAATGAAGAATATCCTAGTTCTTATTACATTACCTTTCTCTACTAAAGACCTAGTATTTATAATGTAATAATAACAATAGAAGTAAGAGAATAAAGATCTTTTAAAGGCATCCAATCCAAATCTAGATCCTCCCTAGACCATCCCAAATTTATAGATTTGTTCTTTTTTCCTTAGTTGCTTAACTATTACTAGTAAGTATCCGGTGCGATGCACAAGTAATAATATTAAATTTATAATTGAAAATGTGGGGTTAACATGTAATACAATTTATTGTACATTAGTTTACTGCACGAACAAACAATATTAAATAATATATATAAATTCATGGGTTAACATATAATACAATTTATGCTCACATGTTGCATAAAAAATAATTTATGTAAAAACATATAAACATGTCTCTGAAAATTTATAAAAAAAATTAGAATGTTATACATGTGTAATAATATGTAAATTTTCTATGCTAAATGTGTGACCGCGCGTCGTCTCGCGGCAAATTTATATTTATAAAATTTCCTCGACTTACCCCTACTAACTAGTAGTAGTGGCGAGCAAGGGTCGATCCCATAGGGAGTGTGGTATAAACCACGATTTTATTATATTAATTAGATTAAAATAAAAAGATGGGGGGATTTTGATTTAGAATGAAACTACTAGCAAAACGAGAAATTAAACTAAAACTAGAGATGGATGATTTAGATGCAAAAGATGATGAAATCAAAAAATAAATAATTAATCTAGTGAAAATGAGAGTGAAATCGGTCCCAGGTCGGTCTATACCCTCGAATAACTAGCCCAATTAATGCATTTATCAAGTCTCACTGGTCTTCTAAAACTACCGGTCCTAGATAGCAATAAGCTCTGCTACCTGAATTCTCCCTTAATTATACTTAATCAAAATAGACTCTTCACTTAATTCTAACTAGCGAATAACTCAAAATAAGCTCTCATAATTTAATCCACTAGTTGCATTAGAATCTAGGAGAATGGACCGATCAAAGCCACAAACACACAAGCTCGGTTCATGTTACTTATGTTGTGCTATCCCTAACAATGCACGACTCTTAGTTGCTACAAGTGAATTAAGAACAACGACAATTACGGATCGAAGCCTCAAATCTAGCAATTAACATGTAATTCTTAACTTAGGTGATCAAGCTAAATTAAAGAACACAGGTTATGGTGTGTAACTAGAATAACACAAACAATTTCAAACGACGAGTAAAACAAAATAAAATTGCATTAATCGAACATAGTCATCGAGGGTTCAACGTCCCTAGAACCGAAATAGTGTTTAGCTACTCATAGCTAAATAATCAAAACCAAAATAATAATCCATGTTCTCCTAAAAAAAATAATAAATAAACCAAACTCCTTTTCAAAGTGATCCACGGCTAGCAGCAGCACAAAATAGGAACTTGTTCTCCTGCCCAGTCTTCGTTCTGCCCACAAAATAGGAACTTGTTCTCCTGCCCAGTCTTTGTTCTGCCCTCTGTTCACGTCCTCCCAGTCCAACCAGAAAATAATAAGAGTCCCCTCAAAATAACCTTCCTTTGCACAAGTTAACCAAGATGAGTCCACAAAATCCAAAATTCTATTCCCCCAAATCACTCTTTCTATCTCTCGCACGTCCCTTTTGCTAGGGAATTAAATCCCCTTCAACTTCTTTTCTTTTCTTTCTTTAATTCCTTAGCCCAATAGATTTAAATCCATGTCATTGCCTACATGGCTGCCACCTCATTAATGCGACGCTAAAAATAGACGTAATAACTGCAAAATAGACACAAAATTGATTATTGGTGTATGTCCGTTCACAAAATAAAATACGTGAGAAAACTTGAATAATACAATAAAATCAAATACTCAAATATATAAATTAGACCATAAAATAGTACAAGGTTTCTCACGTATCAAATCTCCCCAAACTAAAACGTTGCTTGTCCCCAAGCAACATAGAATAAAACACATAGTACGGACAAAACAAACAAGTACGTGGAAATTTCGCTCAGGTCCTCACACATCTCACATAATGCATAGCTACGACTTCTCAAATTAATAATCCCGGACTCGAAATGAAATCATATTTAGAACGCCAACAATCAAATATCAATTTAGTGAATAACCGCAGCTCATCAATCTCTTCACCGAGTACATCAATCATGCAACTAATGATACCCTTTTCTTTGCCAATCGGTTTGGTTCCTATTCGCTTCTAGCTAGAAATCAAACATCTCGATTTTTTTCTTTTTTTCTTTTTTTTTTTATTTGGGAACGGCAGCTCCGTCACAGTCCATAGTTTTTAGCTATTTGTGCTAGAGTGATGCACTAAAGCTCACAGACTGGCAGCTGTTGCAGCCCACGATTTTTTTCTTTTTTTTAATTTTTTTTTTATCCAACACCCTTTATTCTTCTCCTCCACATTCCTTATTCACACCATCTTTTTTTCTTTTTTTACTCATTTTTTTTTTCGAGACATTCAACTCCCAACTTTCCACGTCAAGTTACTTCACACAATCAACATCAAGCAGAATAGTCACCAGCACATTTCAAGAATATAAACCGTTCAAAGACCAACTCACTACGAATAAATCACATAAATGTCAATCATCATGCCTTTGTCCCTTAAATGACAACACCTCAAGATTTTAACCAGAAATAATCAATCCAAGTCATTATAACTAGCACAGTATCCCAATAGACTCTCAAATCATCATCGCGAAATTCCAAATACGACACTGAAACTCAATCACATATTTTTTCTTCTTAACTAAAAGCAGCTAGACAATAAAAAATAACTTCTAGATATGACTATAACCAATCAAAAAGCAAACCAAGCAAACTTATATGCATAGAAAAATGACACAACTACACCCGTCAACAAAACCTCCCCAAACTTAATCTCTACCCCTGATTTTAGGTCGTCCGATTAATCGCGATTAATCGTCCTGGTCGCTCCTAAGTGTTCGATTAGGAGGTCCGACCCGACCAGCTCGACCAGAAACCTGGTCGTCCGATTAA